TTTTTTTTTTGCATCGCATCCATCATGAAGTTCCTCACTCTTGTTGCCGCCACCCTCGCCGTGGTCGCTGCCGGCGCCTCGGCCGACGCCAGCTTCGAGGTGCGCGACCTCCCCGCCATGTCCAAGCACCCGCTCTCCATGCAGCGACGTGACGCCATCCTCAACCGTCGCCACAACCAGCAGCGCGTCGCCAAGCGCGGTTCCAAGCGCGCCTCCAAGAACTCGTGCAAGGCAAAGACGCACAAGGCCGCCTCGGGCATGGGCAAGAAGACCACCCAGTCCGCAAAGCAGCACTCGAGCGCCAGCTCCAACTCGAGCGCCCAGTCACAGTCGCACTCGCAGGCCGAGTCGCAGTCCAACTCGCACGCCTCGAGCCAGTCTCAGAGCCAGTCCGACTCCAAGGCCGGCTCGGATGCCAAGTCCAACGCCTCGAGCAACTCCAACTCGCAGTCGCAGTCGTCGTCTTCCGGTAAGACCGACTCCAACTCGAGCAACTCCTCCTCGTCTTCGTCTTCGTCCTCCTCCTCGTCCTCGGCCTCGGGTGCCGGTCTCTTTGGCTTCAACGGCGGCAGCTGCGGCTCGAGCGGCGCCAACGACAACCAGCCCAACGGCTCGCAGAACTTCCTCAACTGCGGCCTCACCTCGGGCGGCTGGAACCCGCCCAAGCTTCAGCTCGACCAGCTCAAGGTGCTCTCGGCCTCGCAAGCGGCCAACTCGGCCGTCTTTGCTCCCTGCAAGGACGTTCTCTGGGCGTTCCAGGCGGCCGAAAAGGCGCACGGCGTGCCGGCCACGGTGCTCATGTCGTTTGCCATGCAGGAGTCCACGTGCAACCCCAACGTCACTGGCGGCAACGGCGAGCAGGGCCTCATGCAGATCACGCCCGACAAGTGCGGCGGCGCGCCCGGCGGCAACTGCAAGGACCCCTGGTTCAACGTCGACGCCGGCGCAAAGTACTTTAAGAACACGCTCGACCAGTGCGGCGGCAGCGTGCTCCAGGCCATTGGCCAGTACAACGGCTGGCAGCTGGGTCTGACCGTGCAGAAGGCCACGGCGGCCAAGTACCAGGGCAACTGCTACGCGCAGAACAACCTCGACTACCTCTACCAGATGCTCAACGGCTGGTTCCTCGGCAAGGCCAACGCCTACGACATGGGCACCTACAAGAACCTCGCCAGCTGCTAGTCGGCCTCTCTCTCTCTTTCCCCCTCTCTCTCTCTCGCGTACACTTTGTTGCTTGCGTCTTCTTTTGTGCTTCCACAGCGCGGCCCGCACGGTGGAAAAGCGGTCTGGGGCTGGATCCCGGAGCGAGCTGCTCGTGCGCGGGCCGCCGCCTTTCGCCATTTTGTTTCGCTCAATCTTGACGAGTTTCTTTCGCCGTGGGTTGTTTGCGCGTGTGGTGTGCGAGCATGTGATTGGGTGATGCTGTGAGGGCGATGCTAGGCATCGTCCGACCGTGCAGCGAGTGTGGGGGAGGGTATCATTGTGAGTAAGTTACGCTACATCATGCGTCGCCATGGTCGGGGGGAAAGTGTGGAGATGCCTAATACCTCGTCCTTTGTCGATTGCCGCTGCAGTGTCAAAAGGTTGGACCGCGCCGTCATGGTTCGCGGGGAGTGTGGTGTCGGACTTTATGACAGCATGGATGCTCGACCATGCTTTGGTTCGTGCCATCAAAGCGCTACACGTCTGAAGCGGTTTGAGCTGGACTCGGCGCTGCAAGACGGAAGCGATGTTTGCATCTTTCCGCACCACATTCACCCGTTACCCTCTGTCAGTATGAATGCGCCATGTTGCGAGGTTGCGCAAACTCAGCAAAGTCGGCGCTCGCCACCACTGGAGGACTCTGTGCTGTTAGCGCCCATTGCGATTCTATGCGATGACGCTTGAATCCAGCCGTGAGGGGTTGCATGCACGCCGTGCAGCTGCCAATTGGCGTCCATCCATGCCCATGCCAAACTACCAGCAGCTGCAACTCTCTCTCTGCTGGCCTGGAGGATCGCTCTGATCTTGTGCTTTCCGCTTCTGAGCCCGGGGCCCGTCAGCTGTCGCTGCGCCCTTGTCCCCCGCTGGGCTCGCGTTGCAAGTCCGAGCGTGAGCGCATGCTGCGACTTGATCTGCATCGACGGAGCGCTCCCCCCACGGACAGGCGTTCTTGACCGACTCCCGCGCTGCTCGTGCTGGGGCGGCGTACTGCCGTCAGAGCAGCCGTTTCTCACACAAAGCGTAACGGCCAGGCTCACGCTACACGCTACACACCCAGACTTGAGCCGCCAACCACGACTGCAACCAAAGCCGTGTCGCAAGCGAAGCTCGCGTCAGTCTTGCGCGATGCACGCAGCCTTGTCATTGGCGAGTGTAGTGGTATCATTGCGTGCGGGTGTACTAGCAGGGTATGTGGGATGCTACGAGTCGGACTGCATGGAGAGCTGGATGGCCAGACGCAAGTGTTCGTCTTGGTCCAAGTCCTCCTCCCCATCCAACGCCTCAAGATCGGGCAGGGTATCCAGTTGGGCTTCGAGTGTGTCTAGCGCGCGCGTGGTTGGCGCTGCTGCGGGCTGTGCTGGTGCCTCTGATCCCGCACCTCTCGTGGCGGTGGTAGAGGCTGTAGATTTGCGCTGCTTGAACGTCCTGGTCTCCCCGACTCTGAACGGCATCCTAACCGCATCGCACAGCCTTTTCGCCTTGACCTCTCCAAAGCCGGGACACATGGCTACCTGGGCCACCTCGGCATTGACCACGCCTCGAAGCGTGCCGAACGTGCTGAGCAAGGTGACGACGTCGGTGCGATTGATCCCCCGGATCTGCGTCAGCACATTGGTCACCTGCGCGAGGTAATCTTCGCCAATGCGCTCCTTGATGGCATCCGGAGGCTTGTGCTCGAACGACTTGTACGTTTCAATGTACTTGCCCGCCTCCTCGGCGCTCCAGGCAAGCACCATGGTGAGCGAGTTGATCATCGACACTTTTGTAAGCTCCCGGATCGCAGCTTGGTGGTCGTTGACATCGCACAGCACCAAAAGCACGCGCAGCGTGTACATCTGTTGCAGCTTCGAGATGCGCGTATGCACGTATTCGGGATGCAACCGGTGGTATCGGATCGACAGGAACAACACGCACGACGAAAGCCCCACTTGATAGTCCGGCACAATGTCCGCGTATTCCCAGCCGATGTTGCGGATGTGTTGAAGCACGGGATTGCCGCGCTGGCAGTTGTTCACCAGCACCGTCGTGCCGCTACCCTGTGCGCCACGGATCAGCGGTCGAGGTCGTGGTTGCACCACGGGGCCAGCCCCGCTGCTCGTGCTGGTGCTGCTGTTCATGTCGCGTGCAAGCGACGACGCCGGTTGGAACGACGACATCGGTCGCAAGCTGTCGCCATTGGCGCCCGCCATTGAAACCTGTCGATGCGATTGCGCAGCCCACTCAGTGTGCTTTCCCTTTTCACACCATTCGTGCCCGGGAAACGAAGCGAAACTTTGATTGCCTACAACGCCGAGCGAACGAAGAAAGTCCAGTATCAAGCCAGAAAAGGTCAGTTTCCGTGTCGCCGACAACTGCATCGACCACCGCAACCGCAAAGCATTAGGCATCGCGTCTCGCAAGGCACCGGGGGTTTTCGACGGATCAGAATTGCAGAAGAAGAAGAATTGGCTCGTCACCGAAGTCGCCTTCTTGGACTGTTGAGCTTGTGAATGTGAAATTTTAATCATCGCTTCCACGCCGCATGCCCCCCTTGTCTTGCGTGCCTGTTCCGATGCGAGCATGCTTTGCCGTAATGCCGTTGCGGTGTCACTGGGCGCAAAACTTACGAGTATGCGAGTAGCGCGGAGGAGAGATCGATGATTCTCCCGACGCGCGGACTGGGTTGGTGGCAGAGCAAGCCGCCGTGTCGTTGGCTTCACAGCGCGTCGCAGTTGTCGGATGTGCAGATGGTGGCAGGAGCGACAGCAACGGCGCGCTGATCACGCCAACGACGGAGCGTATGCACTGGCCAAGAGGGAAAGGGTTCATTTCGCTCAGTCGCAGAGTGTGGCTCAAATCAGCGCGCTGCCCAAGTGGAGGCTCAGTCTAATTTGTGCATATCGATGATTCGACAGCTGCCGTTATCACAAAATTACGAACTCGCGTGACCTCGGCCGAGCTTATGGCGCAGATCACGTGTAATATTCTGGCGAAATTTTTGAGGCAGCAGCACGCTTCGCGCTGGATCCGAGGTGGAAGCGCAGGCAGTGGATGCGGAGGGGGCGGCCGCCAGCTTTGCCAGACTTGGATTGGGCAGCAGCTAGCAGCCAGCAGCCAGCAGCCAGCAGCCAAGAGCCGTCGAGCCTCAAAGCCAAAGTGGACCCAGAGCGGCAGCAGCAAAGCAGTGCCTGCGGCGCCGAGGCACAAAGAGAGAGAGAGAGAGTGAGAGCGGCAGACTCGGACTGGCCACTGAATTCTCAGCTCTGGGCTGCGAGAGCCAGCGCCAAGTGGACTCGGTCAGCTGGCTCATCGTCTCACACCTTCTCCTCACCATCAAGTCCAACACATAACCAAGCAACAATGGGTCGGGTCATTCGAGCTCAGCGTAAGAGCGGTGGTATCTTCACCGCTCACACCAAGCACAACAAGGCTCCCGCCAAGCTCCGCGTCTACGACTACGCCGAGCGCAACGGCTACATCCGAGGTGTGGTCAAGGAGATCATCCACGACGCCGGTCGGTAAGTGTCTCTATCAGTGCCGACGCACACTCGCACAGCAGCATTCGCAATCGGCAGCAGCAGCATCGACAGCATCGACAATCGACATCACCATATGCATTCGAAACGTCGTCGCAGCTGCAATAGCTCGCGCATGACTCTCAGCAGGTTCAGTGGAGGAGACGGCATTTCGGACAGATCTAGGCGGACAGAACACAGGAGCACACAGGCATTGGCAGAGCACTCGTTAGAGTTTATAGGGACGGGCAGGCATTTGGGCAGGCATGGAAGCATTCAGGCGTCGGATTGTCGACAGCAGATGAACGCCAACATCGCAGCTGCTCGTTCAGCGTCCAATGTGACATGCGCATCCATCGTCCATGCTACGTGATACGCCGACTACTGCATCCACAACACGCCCATCGTCGCACCTTTCGGCTCAGCGAGGTGACGCACCTGCTCTCAAAACTGCACCACCCGGCATGAGGCGGTCCACTGCGCCAGAATCTCGCCTCGCATCACTCGCAGCCATTTCACATCTGCGACCCGCCGATCCTCACCCGTCATCAGCCTGGCTTTTCCACCACGCTGCGCTATGCCGATTCGAAGCGCTGTTTCTCCTTGCATGCTGCTGCAGCGCGGCAACCTGCCTTTTCCCTCCTCAGCAACAGCACACTGACTCTGCTCGCGTTCCTTGCTCCCCTACAGTGGTGCTCCCCTCGCCAAGGTTGCCTTCCGTGACCCCTACAAGTACCGCACCCGTGTCGAGACCTTCGTTGCCACCGAGGGCCTCTCCACCGGCCAGTTCGTCTACTGCGGTAAGAAGGCTGCCCTGAACGTCGCCAACGTTCTCCCCCTCTCGTCGCTCCCCGAAGGTACCATCGTCTGCAACGTCGAGGAGAAGTCCGGTGACCGTGGCTCGCTCGCCCGCACCTCGGGCAACTACGCCACCATCATCGGCCACGACTCCAACGGCAAGACCTCGCGCATCCGTCTCCCCTCGGGCGCAAAGAAGACCGTCCCCTCCACCTCGCGTGCCACCATTGGCATCGTCGCTGGCGGTGGCCGTATCGACAAGCCCTTGCTCAAGGCCGGCCGTGCCCACCACAAGTTCAAGGTCAAGCGCAACTCGTGGCCCCGCACTCGTGGTGTGGCTATGAACCCCGTCGACCACCCGCACGGTGGTGGTAACCACCAGCACATCGGCAAGCCCTCCACCCGCTCCCGCTTCGCCCCCGCCGGTCAGAAGGTCGGTCTCATCGCCGCCCGCCGCACCGGTCTTATCCGCGGTACCATCAAGACCAAGGACGCCTAAATCTGACCGGGTCCTCTTTGCAGGCTCGGTTTTGGTTTTCTGGTTTCACGTTCTTGTTTTTCTTTGGTCTCCCACCTTTTCTCCCTTGGGACGGTGCGGTGGGACAAGTGGTACGCTGCAGGCTGTATGGAAACGGCACGGTTCTGCATCTTTCGGCCACCTCACCTCCTCCGCGCCTTAACCTTTGTACTCTGGACCGTCAAAACGTCCGTTCAACCCTCTCTCTTATGCCGTTATCCAAATCCGGAGTTGGATTCGGTGTTTCGGCGCCTCTCTCTCCGTTGCATCTTTACGCACACACCACACACACACACCCAAAAGAAAGATTGGCAATCTCAATCTGGTTTTCTCTCGCTTTCGCATTGGTGCCGTTGATCGTGCTCGCCACTGGCTCTTGTTTCGAATCGTGATCGTGGTTGGATGTGAGTTTTCAATCGCGCGCTTGACGCGAAGGCCTTGTTCGACGGGGTTTCCCAGAGCCACGCCGGGTACTTGCACGGTTGGGTATCTGATAAGGCGATGCACCTCTGGCCGGCGTTACGGGTCGAGTGAGTGACTTTGGCTGTGGATCGTACTGCCTCTCAGCGGGTCGTTGCGGGGCTGTGTGCGGGAGTTGCAGCGAAGGAACATGGTCGTTTCGCAGGGTCAAGAAGTTCTCCAGCCGTTCCTCTACCTCTCGCAGCGTGATGCCTAGCCTGAGTCTTGCGTGTTCGTCCTCGACCACGCCGCGAATCGGCGAGTAGACGAGGTTGCCGTCGCTGGCGAACTCGGCGGGCAGCGGCGAATCTGGGCGCCTTACCGCCGGTCGGAACCCGAGCCAGCCGGCATCGCGCTGCCATTCGGGAAACAGTCCCGGCGCTTCCTCCGTCACCTTGACGATCTCCTCGATAGAGTTTGGCATGGGACGGCTTAGTGCAGATCCCACGCACACGATGAGCACGAGCATGCGTAGGAACGCCATGATGGGTTGTTGCGGCGACAGCCTGGCAATACGACGAGCAGGCGAGATTATATACCCTTGAGCCATGCTGTTCGCGCTCCGAGTCGCTCCTGACGAGCATCGGGCTGTGCACACATACGAAACTTCATCAAGCACACACGCACCGTGTGAGAAAGACGCCTCGATGCACAAAGGTGAAACGAACACACGCTTTGAGAAAACAAAAACAGAACCATTGCACAAAACGTAGTTGAGAATGGGAGGGATAAGGCTGCAGGAACGAGTGGACCGAGGCTCGGTACGTGGGTGGGGCGGAAGCGTCGTATGACCTTCGCCATCGCCCCGAGAAGTGCCGCGACGAATGAAGTGGTATGCGCGCTCGTCGCCGGTGTCGATGACCGGCAAGTCGACGTCGAGCACACGCTTTCGAGACCGCCCATCATTTCGGCACGGTCGATCCCCAAGCCACCCAGCGTCGGGGTCGACCGAGCGGTTTCGTTGCTCAGAAGCTGAGACGCTGTTTGGTCCTCTCGGACGTGGCGGTGTCCTTGAGTTGGTCGTTGAACCTGCTGAGGTCCTGGCCCGTTTGGCGCTCGTAGTCCTCGAGCGCCTGCTGCCACTGTGCTCTCGTCAAGCCCTGCGACTTCTCCAGCTTTGCCTTTTGGATGACCCGGTTAACGCCGGCCCTCCAACGCTGGTTGGCGCTGCTGCTCGTCGCAGGCTGCGGCGCCGTCCTGAATCGTACCTTGCGCACCTTGCCCACTGCCTCGTCGGCTCCAGCGGTACTCTTGAGGGCCGAAGCGCCAACGGGTTTGATCTCCCTCACTGCGCCTGTTCCAGACAGGTACGCAGGAGCGCGTTGCACGCCTCGAGCCGCGTCGAGGCTCATCCCCTCGAGACCGTGCGCAAGTGCCGTGGTGGCGTCCATGCCGGCAGTGAGCTCGCCTGCATTCATGGGCGCCCCGGCCGCGTGCATCGCCACGCTGCCAAGGAAAAGCGCACACAGAATCGTCTTCATCGTTGTAAGTCTGTGTCTGTGTATGGGCAGGAGTGACGAAGTCTGCGAGCTGGCGACGCATCTTATAGCCTGCAGCCCACCACACGGTGCGACTCCAAAACCGGCTCAGCCTTTGCCCGCCGCTGCAGCATACGCTGCAAACTTGCCTATCGCACCGGCTATCGTGTGTGATCACCCCACCGAGCTTGATCATAGCGGGGCACGCCACCTCCTGAAAAAGACTTCATATCCCTGCATACCAGCCAGGCTGCAGTGTCGTGCACGCGCTTTCGGCAGCAGTGATACAGTGCATACGTTTGCATCGTTGCTTCCGCGGTAAGTCTTGTGCATCCGTTCATATGTGGGACTCAAAGTGCACTCATCCTCATATCATTTGTGCACCATCCTCACCCTTGCCCTCGTCTTTCAACATCTCGTCTGTGCGCTGTGCCCATCATCACCATGTCCGTTGCGAGATCCACAGCCACGAGCACCGTCGGAAAACGGCGGGTACAGTGCACATCGTAGCGCCGTGCGATGTGAAATGGTGGTCACGAGCTCTTCGCAAGCCACACCAAGCTTACGAGGCAGCTCTGGTTTCCACAGCATGCCCACGCTCCACCGCCCTTCGTTGGTCTCCATAGAAGTTGCTGGAGATTTCCGAGATGCGCCAATGTCCCCTCCCTTGACTGCATGTGTCTTGCTCACAAGCCCCGCCTGCGGAGGTGTAACGCCATGGTCCCCACGCGGAGTTAGTGTAGCAAATCGCAAACACGCCCTGTATCCGCTCCTTCATCTCCCTTCCACGCTCCGGTGAATGCGGATCGGAACCCGGCCCTTCTGCGCAAAAGCGAGTCCACACTCAACTTTGCTCTTCGAGCTTTCACACGAGGCAGACGATGGTCACGTGTCACAGCATGGATTGAGCGGTTCAGCGGGAAGAGGATCCGCTGTCACATGTCGCTTCACGCGAGGTTGAGCGAAAGAAAACGTTTGGTGGACGGGAAATCGAACGTGTAGGTCATGTGTCAAAGACAACGGCGAAGTAGAGATGGTGCTGGGCTTGGGGCGGGCACGGAGCAGGCGGAGTTGGGCATCAGGGGTTTACCAGAACCAGCCGGTGCGCTCGTTTGCCTTTTCGGCCTCCATCTGGGCGTGGTGCCTCTCAGCGGCGGTCCAGGTCATCCACGATGTGTCGGGGTGATAGAAGCGAGGGTCGCCCTGACGGCTACGAACGAACTCGCCCATCGAGTCGTCGCGGGCGTACGCGGGCACCGCACCGCCATAGTGCGGGTCCGGATGGGCAGGTGCACCTCCGTAGTGGTACGGATAGGGTTGAGGTGCAGCCTGGTAGTATCCACCGGGAGGACCCGAGTGGTACATTCCCTGAGCAGGCACTTGCTGAGGAGCGCCAGGATGAGCCTGCACAGCAGGTGCAGCAGGTGCAGCAGCCGAGGCAGGCGTGACTGGACGTTGAGGAGCGGGCTGTTCGATATCAACGCGGGCATGCTTTGGGCTCGAGCTTTCCGATGCGGCCTTGCTGGAGCCGCCGGCGGATCCTTCGGGCAGACCATCCCACTTGAAGTCGTCCTCGAGCTCACGAGCGGCACTGGACGATTCGCCCTTGCCCTTGCCCACGAGCTTGCCCGCGCCTTTGAGCAGGTTCCAGCCCTGAGGAGTCGGGGCGGCCAGCACCACAGCACTGCTCGAGAGTGCGAATAGAACGATAGGGTTGATCTTCATCTTGACGGCTTACAACGACGAAGTTGGTTGTCTCGAACACGACCTTTCGTCTTGAGCTGCTCCTTTATATCCCTTCTTGCTCGCAGCTTCCAGAAGTCAACAGTCAGCATGGCGCCGAGCTCGATCGAGCGCAAAGTCTTTTGCAACGCCCACCTTGGATAGCCCGTGACTGTTCAGGAGCGTTTAATTCCAGTCGCACAACGTGGGCGTCGTTGCAATGCCCACCTTGCCCGCCCACAATCATGACAACAGCAGAACTCTTTGTCAACAACGATGATCAACTCTCCGTCGGGTGATGCTGCGTTGCACACAGCGGGTGCAGGAGGTTTGCTCTTGATGGGCAGGTTGCTAGCCCTGCATGATATCACAATGACAACTTCCCCTCTTGCCGTGCATTTCATCATTTCATATTGTGACTCATGTCGACACCAACCCGCTCGAGAAGGCTTCATCAAGGACCAAAAGTTTTGCTCCGACAACAATGCAGCTTGGCCCCATTTGAGTTGCCGTGCGATGGCTTCATTTCGCGGAAAGGGCACCATTGTATACTGTGCCTGCATCCTCGATGGTGGGGCTCATCAGACCCATCGTCGTAGCTGCATCCTCCGTGGTGGGAGGAAGCCAAAAAAAAA